AAGGGAAGGGTCGGGCCTCACCGATGTGAGCCTTCGGATAATACCGTCCAAGAAAGTATCTCGTCGCTGCTCGATTCCAATGTCATGAAACGCGGATAGAGAGAAAACGTCGATAGGAAGGGTGGTTTTAGAGGAGTCGCCGTCTGGAGGGTCGACAGGATACCGGGACAAGCAGTCCGCATCTTGATGCAGGCGGCCGGTTTTATACAGGACTGAGTAATCAAATTCTTGAAGGCGCAGCGCCCAACGGCCAAGACGGCCTGAAGGGTCTTTAAGGGACGAAAGCCAGCACAAGGCGTGGTGATCTGTGATTACTGTGAATGGCCGGCCGTACAAATAGGGACGAAATTTACCGACTGCCCAAACAAGTGCCAAACATTCCCGTTCGGTTATTGAATATTTTCTTTCAGCAGGCGAAAGAAGGCGGCTGGCATAAGCAACAACACGGTCTCGTCCTTGTTGTTTCTGGGCGAGGACTGCACCGATGCCATAGCCACTTGCGTCTGTACGAACTTCTGTTGGAGATGAAATATCAAAGTGGGCGAGGATAGGCGGAGACGTAAGCAGACACACTAGATTTTGAAACGCATCTGCTTGCTCAGGGCCCCAGATGAAGCCAGCGTCTTTTTTGAGAAGTTGAGTGAGAGGGCGTGCTACGTCGGCGAAGTTTTTAACAAAGCGGCGGAAGTAAGAACAGAGGCCAACGAAACTGCGAACGTCTTTGGTACAGGTTGGTACAGGGAAATCTCTTACTGCGCGTATTTTATCTTGATCAGGGCGAACCCCCACGGAATCAACGAGGTGTCCGAGGACAGAAATTTCACGACGGCCGAAGTGGCACTTTGCCGAATTGAGTTGCAGGCCCGCCTTACGAAAGACAGATAAGATTTTCGATAGCCTTTCAAGGTGCGTCGCAAAAGAAGGCGAAAAAACGATAACGTCGTCCAGGTAGCACAGGCAGATGGACCACTTGAAGCCGTGCAACAGAGCGTCCATCATACGTTCGAATGTGGCGGGCGCATTACATAAACCGAATGGCATCACTTTAAACTCGTAAAGGCCGTCGGGAGTGATAAACGCCGTCTTCTCACGGTCCATGTCATCAACGGCAATCTGCCAGTACCCAGAGCGGAGGTCAATGGAGGAAAAATATTTTGCGCCGTGAAGGCAATCCAGGGCATCGTCTATGCGTGGTAAAGGGTAGACGTCCTTCTTCGTTATTTTGTTTAAATGGCGATAATCGACGCAAAATCTCCAGCTGTTGTCCTTCTTCTTTACAAGTACAACAGGGGACGCCCAGGGACTGCATGAAGGCTCGATGATATTCCGAGAAAGCATTTTGTCGACCTCCTGTTGGATGATGCGCCGCTCTGCATGGGAAACACGGTAGGGTCTCCGATGGATGGGACTCGTATCGCCTGTATCAATCCGGTGCTTAACAACGGACGTCTGGCCGAGTGGGCGGTCGCCAAGGTCGAAGATGTCCCAAAAAGATGCAAGCAGGGAACGCAGGTCGTTAGCTTGTTCTTTCGGCAAGTCGGGGGCAATCATCTTGGTTAACACACTTTGGTCTGATGGAGGAGTAGACGAAGTTTTTTGGGCACTCGGGATGCTGTCATAACTTAGAGTGCAAATATGGCACTCTGCCGCCGGCACGATCTCGGCTAGAGATATACCACGAGGGAGGACTTGTGTACATAGTGAAAAATTCACTAAGGGTAGGCAGGATGCATTGGCCGTAATAGTGATGACGGTGTGAGGAAACGCAACGTTGTGCGAAAGCAGGACGTCAACATTGGGGGACACAATATAAACACCGTCTGGGACAGGTGGAACAGGGGAGACGCCTATGTAAGCTACTGTTCGTTGAGGGAGACGCAGGTGTTCTGTAGAACAAAGCCGACTTGGAGGGCAACTTGGAGGATCAACAACATTAGGTAGAGCGAGTTGCACTATACCGGCAGAGCAGTCTATCAAGGCCGAATGTTCAGACAAAAAGTCTTGGCCCAAAATTATGTCATTAGGGCAGTGTTCTAAAACATAAAACAGAACTGATGTGTGGTGTCCGGCGACGCTGACGCGAGCTGAGCACACACCAATTACGGCGACTTTTCCACCATCGGCCGTTCGGACCACAGGAGTTGGGCCAGGAGTAAGGACTTTCTTCAGCCGTGCTCTAAGGTCAGCGTTCATGATAGACACGTGTGCGCCAGTGTCAATGAGGGCTGTAGTAGGTACACCGTCGACGTCAACATTGATAAGGTTCTGATGTGCGGGCAAGGTCAGTAGAGGATTTTGGGATCGGGTCGGTATTGCAGCATCACCTCCAAGAGCTGCTCCCGTCAGTTTTCCGGAGGTGAACGCCGGAACGAGCTTGGGGACGGCGATCGGCGAGATGGGGGCGAGCAGGAGAAACGGCGTTGTGGCGAAGGGGAGCGGCTGGATCGGGGGCGCGAGGAATTCTCAGGCGTTAGCGGCTCTGTTTTCGGTGATGAGCGTGAATTCCAGACAGGTGGGCGATGGGGCGGAGGGTGAGGCCACGGAGCAGAGCTGGACCAAGCACGGCAGTGACGCGAAATGTGGCCTATACGACCGCAATTGAATCATATCGGCCGGTCGTCTGGGGTGCGCCATACCGCCGGGTCGCGATAATGTGGGCTGGCAGAAAAACGTCGGTTGGGCGGAACAGTCACGGGTGGATTTGGTGTGGCGTAGTCTGGACGATGAATGGAGCAGACGTTTAAGCCGGCGTTGGCCAGTTCTTGCCTCACGACGGTCTGTATGAGAGAGACGGTGGCGTGATAGCTTTCGGAGTTGGGGGAGGCTGACACGAGTGGAGCGGCGGCTTCTATTTCCCGACGGACAATACGGACAACGTCACCGGGACTTTCCGTAGAAGGCAGGCGAGGGTCTTCGCATGTGGATGTTGCAGCCGTGTTTGGAAGCCGGGCAAACTGGTGGAGAACACGGCGGCTCTTCGCTTCTTCAAAGCGCCGGCATTCAGAAATAATGTCGTGGACCGTAGATGAATTCTTGAACACAAGAAGGTGAAAGGCGTCATCTGCTATGCCCTTAATAATATGGCCAACCTTATCGGCTTCGGACATCTGCGAGTCTACCTTGCGGCACAAAGCGAGCACGTCCTGAATGTACGTGAGGTATGATTCGGTGCACGTCTGAACTCGACGTGCGAGCTCGTTTTGGGCGGCGCGTTGACTTCCCACAGGCCTGCCAAATAGCTCCCGGAGCTTTTGCTTGCATAACTCCCAGCTAGTCAGTTCTTCCTCGTGCGTCTCGTACCAGACCTTTGCGGTACCTCTGAGATAAAAAATCACGTTGGCCAGCATGAGCGTTGGATCCCATCGCATACGTACACCCACTCGTTCGTATGACTTCAGCCAGGCTTCTACGTCAATGCCATCAGTGCCAGAAAAGGTACCTGGATCTCTCGGGGGCTCCAAGATGAGGGTTGACGGTCCAGTTGGAGACAGCACGGACGTAGTTGGAGAAGGCACGGTAGTCGGGGAAGGGTCGGCATTGTTGACTGCAGTCGCCATGGGGGAGACCACTAGGCGCCCGCTACGAAGCTCCGTTTTGCGTGAAGTGAGTACCCCGCACCTCCCACCAATGATGTTACGGGAGAATAACTTTACTTTATAAAACGAGGAATAAACTCGGTGGTGGACAAGATGGCGCCCAGTTGGCTCACAGATCTGACAACATCGTCCTCCTCTTTGTCTTCTTCGTCGTTCTCATCCTACCGTTACAATATGACTAATGTTTCATAAAAAAGTTTTAATGAAACAGGCGCTTATGAAAAGTTACGGCACAAGAAGTGGAGAGAGCGGTACCCATTGTAATCACGGAATTGGTAAAGCTAATAAATATTTAATTGCTGTCGATGTGAACAACTAGGTATTTGCAAGTGTTGACAGATGACAACTGAATCCTATTTATTTAGTAAACAGGGATAGTGCAGTCAGCGCTTCTTCGAGAGATCCTAATTATTTTACACTTGCTAATATTTAGTTTTAGTGAGCAGAGTGACCACCAGGAAGTAATGCTGTCTAGACCAGACTGAAATTCTGATTATTCGTGATGGTTAGTTATTATGTGGTTGATGACACACTCATTGGCAAAGAGCCTGATTGTCGATGTTATGCGCGATGAAAAATACATATTCTAAATTGGAAAGAGTAATGGTCCAAGGACAAAACTTTGCGGCACACGAGCAGTTAAGAAAGAATTGCGTCAGTTATGAGCGTTAGATGTTGCATGTTGAGTTCTGTGAGACAAGAACCATTCAATTTATAGTAATATGTTTGACTCACTGTTGAGCATCCTTAGATTTAGTAGAAGAAAACGTTGAGGAATGGTGTTGAAAGCTTCTTGAAAATCAAGACATATAGAGTCGTTAATGGAGCCAGTGTCATGCGCTGAAAAAAAAAGTCATTGGTGAAGAGATGTAGTTGCATTTGAAATTAGTAGTGCTTCCTAAAACCATGGTGACTATTGTAAAATAAGTTATTTTCTTTGAGAAGTACAACTAGGTTCAAATAAGTGATATGTTCAAGAAGCTTTTATTGAATAGTATTGAAAGCATTAGACCTTCAATTCAACCTATCAGAGAAGTAACCTAGTGTATGCACAGGAAACAGTTTCCTCGCTTTCCAGTACCTGACCCTTTAATGGGGCATGTTGCAATGACTGTGAAAAACGGTGCAAAACAATGACTGAGCAATAAATGGCCCACTGTTTGAGAAATCTGGTTGGAATTCTATCTATGCCAGATGCTGACGCATTCATTTTAAGTATGAGGAGAAAAGGCCACATTGATCAATGATTACTCTTTTCAATCAGGGACATCGTGAGTTAGCTTGAATCGATAAAAATTTGGAGTTGTCAGAAGAAACTGTGTTTTAAATACATCTTTCACATCACCTGTCGCCTACAATGACAAACCAAGTTCGTTACACGTTTTTCTTCTTGCTCTGTTCTAGGCTTCGTACAGACCATGCTGTCGGCTACACCACTGGCCGTTCTTAGCAGGCTTTCCTATGGCATCTACCTAATCCACTTTCCATTCTTCCTTCTTTGGAAATCCGCCGTCAGAGAACGGCTCTACACTAATATATTCAATTTGGTAAGTGGAACTACGGATCGACAGCATTTAAGTACCACCGTTCTGTCGGATGAATTTAACGCATAGCAAGGTTTTCGCAGGCAATGGGGCAGAAGTACTTGTTATATTTGGTGAGCGGAAGTTCATTATATTGGCAAGGAAAGTTACATGCTATACTGGACGCCCTGCACACATTGGTTATGAAAGGTACGCTTTAGTCCTGAGTAAAATTTCCGTAATATTTGCGTATAGCCTGAAAACCACGACGAAATGCGTTATATATAGTGTCCCTCCTAAGCATAGCTGTAGTTTTATTATTTTCCGACACATTTTATGACGGCGCCACTAAACCACTCTCACATCCAATCGGGCAGCCTTTTTTGACAACTATAGTGCCAGACGTCGTACGGGTAGGGTATGACGGAAACTTTCGTGTTGTTATTTTGCGGTTGGCGCTTCTTTTCGTGGAGACCTAGACTGGCGTAGGACTATTGCTGTCAGACCTGTCAGCAACTGTTCTCGAAATCCAGCCTTTTCAAACCTGTTCACTTAAACGGTGAAACTGTTAGTGGTTTTATGGGGACCTGAACGACATAGGTCATTCCCTAAGACAGTCAATGCGATAGCACGACTAGTGAGCTTCGAGTGACGAGATGATATGTTGTACTAGTGGAAAAGCTTGAATGTTTTGGTATTTGTGCTAAGCTAAGTTAGACAATTTCAGTTAGTAAAAACACATAGACGTATGGGTCGCTGTGAGCGAAGGTAATTTGTTCGTAAAATTGGAAACTGCTTGAAGGCTGGTTTTGTTAGACCGAGTTATAGCTGCACTTTTTCATGGTCAGCATGCCCAGGGGCGTTAGAAGAGGGCAAAACATAAATATTCTTAGTGCATTGAAAGGTCAGTTGAATACTTCAAAGTTTATTTGGTACCGTGGTGATTCACTGCCTCCTGAAATATGTTTTCCCGTCTACTATCATTCAAATTGCAGTTACGATATCAATTGTATATCTTGCTTTAATGTTTGTTCTGCAACGAGCATAACTGACGCTTTTATACAGGCTTCATTTCCAGCGCTCCTAATCAACTATTTCGCATGCCCGCAGTTCTCCGAAAGTGTACCGGTGTTTGTGTGGAGCTGCATGCTTGCGTTGGTGCTGTTCTTGGCCTGCGAGGCTCCGGTTGGACGTCTGGACAAAATATTGTGGGCCAAGTCGTCGCTCAAAAAGAAAGAGGAGCAAGTCAATGAGGGGCACGACCTGGAGCTACCTACACGTCACTCTGAAGCACCTGAAGAGACCCATCATCGGTGAATAAATCACAGCCGCCTACACCATGTGCATACTTTGTAGTGCCACATAACGGAAGGCATTGCCCCACTTCTTTTCAAAAATCAGCAGTTGTTCGGTGTAATATTGCAACCGTTAGGCAATGCTCCTCAGTAGTGGAACGGAAAGGACTACGTGCGTTTTAGGGGTGAAGATCCTTAAGGCGCGAGTCGGTCGTCACATGCATATATGCATGTATGTAGCAACCACCTCACAGCATATCCACGGAGTGAATGATGATGAGTGAGGCAAGCTTCGGGGGGTTTTATCGGCATGCCGTGAATCATCCATTATCCACGTCTATCCATCGTCTGTTAGTCTGTTTGACGCGTGGAAGAACAGATGAACAAATGCACGGACGAACGCAGGAACAGACGCACAGACAGACGCACGGACAGAACAAAGGACGGACGAACGGACAGACGGATGGGCGGACGGAGGCACGGACAGACGCACGGCCGGACACATGGATGACTGCACGGAGGGACGCAGGAACGAAGCCACGGGCGAACGGACGCACGGAAGGACGCATGCCCGCATGGACTGATGCACGGGCGGATGGAAGCAAGAATGAACAGACGGACGGAAGCACAGACGAACTGACGAACGCTTCGCCCTTCATCACCATTCACTCCACGGATATGCTGGGATTTTGTTTGGATTTGTTTTTCTCTGCGTCACGGGCACGCTCAGTGAAGAGACCGCGCATTGGCCAGTGCAGGATGAAGACAGACACGAAGAAAGAGCCAGACTGGCTCTATTTCGCCTGCGATCGTGTTCTCACGCTTTTCCTATCGTACCGATCGCTTCCGCGTTTCAGCGCTCATAACGTTCATGTATTCTCCCGCGTGAGGGGGAGAGGCCGCCGCTGGCGCTTTGTTAAGGAGCGTTACCGCAACGACGGGGTGCGAGCTTCAGCAGCTTCACTTCCAAAAAGCTGAAATCAACACAACAGTGGTTTAGAAAATGAACTATCAAGTACTACACTGCGGGTTCAGTTCCCATACGCAGCACTCGCATGTTTCTAGAGATTGATCTGCGGACAAAGTGTATTTCACACTAGAGCTTTCATGAATGGCGAGAAAAACGGCCCAATTTGGCAACCGATCTGACATCCGACGTGGTGGTGCACGGCGCTCAAAGTGGTGACGCTTCATCCCATCGCACCAGCGGATAGGATGTCTGGTGTGGAGAAAACCTGGCAGTTGTTGGGTGAACGAATCCTACCTTCGGACGGGCACAGCCAATTATAATATATACATTGCGCAAAGCTAGCAACATCACATCGCTGCTGGTGCCCCTTTTATTGATACTATCACCGAGAGCTGAGGCAAGATGCCTCAGCTGTGGCTCGGTAAACATTTGGTGGAACTTGCTTGTGACGCTAAAAAATTATCAGGCAAGAGTGGAACAAGCAGCACAGTCGCAGTTAATGGAACAGCGTCCTTTTTAGAGCCCATTGTAGGATATCTAGGGGCAACGAAGGCAAGTAAGTAAGGTACCTGTTGTATACCAAACAGACATCCTTTTCGGGCTCGTTGTAGGATATCTCGGGGCAACAAATACAAGTAAGTATGTAACGTACCTGTTGTGTCCCAACTTCTGAAAGCACCATTGTTCTCGAGCGAGCCCGTAACGTATCAGCGGTTCCCGGTACCTGCATGCGTCTGCTTGTTAACTTCTCGCGTCTCCGCTTCAAGTGCAGGTAAGAGCTCTGTTAGTGATGTAATGTTTGGATGTGTAGGGGAAGCTTGTAAAATTTTTTGTGGTCAACGGGAAAAAATATTTTGCAAACGGGGCCACATGAAGTGAGCATTCAGTGAACATTTCTGTACGGTTATCTTTGTTAGGGCGTGTTTGTAAGCTTGTTATGAAACGATTGATATCAATGTTTACATTATTGTGCATAAGTAGGCATATCTATTTTAGACGAGCTATTTTTTTCGGTGCTGAAGGGTATCTATACAAACAGTTTCAATCAACATATTAGGTAAATATTTAAGCCAATACTTCTTAAAAATGGACCTGGCCACCTTTCTTTGGAAGCCTTCAAGTTTTTTTCTGGAGAAGACTGTAGTGTTCAATTTTTACAATTTAGAGTCATTTGCCAGGTGGAGCACTAAAACGTTACTCTGCAGTCAAGGGCAAGGTGATCTTGATGCGTGTTGATTACATTTTAGATAATGCAGTCAATGGTGATCAACTTGATGTTGACATGTGTAATAGCAGGTAGGTCGTCAATGAAGGTTAGAAATAAAGACCCGGAGCCAAAACACAACCCTTTGGAACACCGAATATTACTTGGGGAGTGTCAAATGACTTGCCATTTCAACAATGTGTAAATATTGTTATCATTTAGTTATCAAATATTCAACTAGTAATGGCTTAGTCGCCTAGTAACATAAATATAAAAATTAGTTTCTGATGAATCAGTCGGTTAAAGACCTTTTAAAAATATACTATTATAGAGTTGATTCATTTTCTGGAATTGTTGCCCAAAGACAGGTCGTGAACAAGTTGCAAAAATTGTTCAACGTAGATAATCTTTGATGAAAGCCATGTTATCGAAAAAGCCTGGAATTAACTGCTCTCATACCTCTTCCCTGATTAGTGTGCGGGTGTGATTCCAGTGGTCTGCTATTCTTTTGGAAGCCTACCAGTTTAAAGTAATTTTATTAATTTCAAATAATGCAAGTGAACATCTTGGCTCAAGTAGGATGGGCCTCACGTATACTGTTAAATTAAATATACAAACAACGCAACAGGCATACAGAAAACAGAACAAACGATAGAACTACAATTACAATCATAATATAGATAGGGCTATGACAAAATATTAAGAGTGGTAATGTGGCACTGAAAATCAGTAAAAATTTATCGTAGTGTAATATGCAATATGGTCACAAAATTCCGATCCGCAACCGTAAGAAGGAAGCAAATATTGATTTGCTCTTGAGTGAGCGAAGATTGGTGCCAAAAAATTTTTGTTATTGTGCCACGTTGATCTTCTACTCAGACGCTTAACAGACTCTGTCAGAGCTAAATTAATTTTAACTGCGAGGCAGTTGTGAAGGAATGAGTGGCAGTTAAGTTTTTTTCTGGGCTTCCTGCAAAGATATACTGTAGTGCTTCATTCAATTAGGAGAATCGAAACGTTAACTATTTTGCGCAAATATATCTACCAACTTTACGCTGAACATTTTCTAGCTGTGAAATATATTTACGATAATTCGGATCGCACGCAATTGATGCATATCTAATTTAGATATTATGCAACCTTTCTGTGCGAGAAGGTTTAGGCTGTTCCGCCGCGGTGATCTAGTGGCTAAGGTATTCGGCTGCTGACCCGCAGGTTGCGGGTCCGAATCTCGGCTGCGGCGGCTGCATTTCCGATGGAGGCGGAAATGTTGTATGCCAGTGTGCTCAGATTTGGGTGCACGTTAAAGAACCCCAGGTGGTCGAAATTTCCGGAGCCCTCCACTACGGCGTCTCTTATAATCATAAGGCGGTTTTGGGACGTTAAACCCCACATATCAATGAGAAGGTTTAGGCTACTTCGCGCTCTCTTAAGTTTTTTTTAAGAAAGCACAGTTTCTGAATACAGGCTGCAGAAATGTCGGATATGTGTTTCGAGCATGTGAACCTATTTGCTAGTGTAACACGTAAAGATTTAAACTTGTCAACATCTGCGATTTCATTGTTATTAATTCAATAGAGAAACGTACGGCCTACTTTTTTTTCCTCGTTAGACGGAGATAGTGCTTTGACTGAATAAATATTAAGGATGCACCTAACATAAAGAGAAATTAAGGAAGGTGACAGAATAGACGCCCTATCGTGTCACCTTCCTTCTATCTCTCTATGTAGGCTGCGTCCTTTCTTTTTCCTAAATATGGACCACCTAGCCCGACAACACGTTGCACTAGTATCTTTGTATGAATTCAAACCATTTCCTAACGCTCACACCAATTTCAAGTCGCACATATACTGTTTGTAATAAGATTTGGTCGTTTGTAGATGAAATTTCCTTGAAAACAACACAATAATCCGCAAACAACTAAATTGATACTCTACCAAGACCCACATCAACCCAATAATTACATAAATGACTAGCAAATGGCCTAAAACACTACCTTGAGTCACTCCCGAGGTAACAGGAAGCACGGGGGATGAGGAGTTTTTTCTGAAAATCATTTTCTGTAGAAAAGATATGCACTAATTCATTTATTGATGAAGGATGGCAAGCTGGGGCATCCAAATTTAAACAATAGCTTACTGTGTAGTACTTTATCAAATGCCTTCAAAAAATCTCAAAATGGAATGTCAGCCTGCTTAGAGGCATCAAGTACAGCCAAGCTCTCGTGCACAGTTGAAACCAAATGAGTAACTGTAATCCCTAATTTTTTGAAACCATGTTGATGTGGTGAGAAGATACCTCAATCCCTTAGAAATTTTTTGATGTGTACAACAGCATGCTCAAACGAATTGAAACGCGTGCTATTGACTGATTCAGGCCGGTAATTGATTACCTAAAGCCGTTTATATCTTTTAGAATGAGTGTAACACGTGCAGTTCAGTGCTCCCTTTTTTTCAAAAATGTTTTAAATATTTGAAGTTTTACGCCCCGAAACCACGATATCGTTACTAGAGGCGCGGTACGGGAGTTTTCCGCAAATCTTTACTATTAGGTGTTCTTTCACGTGCGCTGACACCGTATAGTACACGGGCCTCTGCCATTTCGACTTCATTGAATAGCGACCGCCATGGCAGTGATCAAACCCGCGATTTTTGGGTCAGCAACCATACACCCTAGACACTGTTTTACCGTGACGGACCCCCAATCATTCGAAATGACACTTGTGTTTACCAATAGATTATTAGGTTATCCATAAATCCAAAAATGTGCTCAGCATAGAATTTAAAAAATGTGTTTTGAATAAGATGTGAACCGGCAGAGTGTTAATAATCAGATTTAGAAACATGGCAGTGAGGCCCTCTTAAGTTTTTACAAT